GCCTTTTAACCTCCCGAGTGGGGGGGCTTTGGGGGCCCCCATGGAGGAGGGGGGGGGCCTTACGATCCCAGGGAGGGGCCTCAAGAGGGCCAAGGGGGCCCCCCTGGTCAAGAACCCGCAGGGGGGTGTTCCCCGGGGGTGTCCCGCCGAGCCCCGGGGGGGGGGGCCCTTGCCCCAATAGGGGGGTTGCCCCTGCCGCCGTTGGGGGGCCGCAGACCCCCCCCCCGGGCCCCCAGCCTCCACGCCTCAATCCTGCCCGTTTTGCGGCCTTGCCGCGGACCCTCCCTGGCCGCCCTTTGTTTTTAATTTTTGCGGGCCGGGCCCTGCCTTGGGCCGTTCCCGCCCCCGCCCGAGGCCCACGCCGAGGTCCTCCCGTCCCCTGCCCCCCTCGGGGCACTTCCCCTTTCCTTGTCCGGTCCTGGGTCCCGGTCCCACCCTTGGGGGGGCCCCCCCCCCCCCCCCCCCTCCTCCCGCCGCTTCGCCTCAAACCCCGCCTCCCGACGCCCGCCCGCCCGCCCGTGTCGTCAGACCCTCTCGGAGGAGCTGACCAACTTTGAGCAGACGGAGGAGCACGAAGGGCTCCAGTCATGCGCCGAGGCCCTCGGCGACGCCAAGCTCCTCCGCCACAAGGACCCCGAAGTCAAGTGAGCGCCTCTCGCCGCCCGCTGCCCTGCGCCCCATCGCCCGCGCCCTGCCCCCGCCTCCGCTCGCAACCGACTCGCACGCGGCGCAGCGGCGGGAGGGCGCACGGGCGCGCAAGGGGCGGACACGGGCGAGGGCAGTGTGTGTGTACGTGGATCGCGCGACGGGGGTGGCGGCGTGAGTCCGATGGGGAGAGAGGGCCCGGCGGCTCCCCCAGAGCTGGCGCGTGCAGCGCCTCCCGCCGCCCGCCTCCCGCCTCCCGCCTCCCGCCTCGCCTGCGCACCGTCCTCAACCCGCGCGGCGGTGCGCCAGGCTGCTCACCGCGTGCTGCGTCTCGGACGTGCTGCGCATCTACGCCCCCGACACGCCGTACTCCCCCGACACGCTCAAGGCTCCTTCCCCCGCCCCCGCCCCCGCCCCCTCCGCCCTGCAGCCCCGCCCGCCGCCACTCGCCGCCGCCCTCGCCGCCGCCGCCGTCGAGAACTGCAGCCATGCCACGCTCCGGGGCTTCAGTTCACTCAGCTTTCCCCTCCCCGCCCCCGCCCCCCCTCCCCCCCCTCCCCCTCAGAACGTCTTTGAGGTGCTCATCCAGCAGCTCAACGGCGTGCGCGACCCGAAGAGCGGCTCCTTCTCCCGCTACTTCTACCTCCTCGAGCGGCTCGCCATGGTCCCCGCCCCCGCGCGGCTCCTCCACCTGCGGAGAGCGCGCCGCCCGACGCCGGCCCGCCCTCCTCGAGCGCAGGTCAAGTCCTTTGTGCTGATGATTGACCTCGAGTGCCAGGACCTCATCGAGTCCCTGTTCGAGGTCCTGTTCGACGTCACCTCCAAGGAGCACGGCGTGCGCGTCGAGGGCTTCCTCCTCGAGATCCTCGTCGGCATCATCGAGGACCTCGACGCGGTTCCGCCGCCGCCAGACACCGCCGAGCTGTGGCGGAGCGTCCCTTCACACCGCCTTTGGCCCGTGAGCCAGGTGCCGCAGCCGCTGCTAGACGTCGTGCTCGAGAAGGTGGTGCAGCCAGCAAAGGCAGAGACGCCGCGGCCTTGCGGCGCTGCCCGAGTCGAGCCGAGACTCAGCCGAGCTCCGCCGGGACAATAGGCGGAGAAGCCGGCGGCGTACGCGCTCGCGCGCCGCGTGCTGCAGCGCTGCTCGAACGAGCTCAACGCGCCGCTGCACCACTTCCTGCAGTCGTGCCTGCCCAACTCGACCCTCGAGCGCGTCGAGTCGGACGTGCGCGACGAGTGGCCTCACCTCGTCGTCGAGGCTCCCTCCGCCCGATCTCGGGACGCATCTCGAATCTCGGACACCTCTCGGACACCTCTCCATCTCGGCCCGCCCCCCTCCTCACGCCTCCGACGTGCCAGGTCGCGAGCGCGGCGCCCGACGTGGTCAAGTACGTCGTGCCGCAGCTGAGCGAGGTCGCGACCATGGAGGAGGAGGCGGTCCGGCTCAAGGCGACGCACCTGCTCGCAGACCTCTTCGAGTCGGGGCAGCGCGTGGAGCACGACTACCCCGCCCTCGTCACCGCCTTCAAAGGCCGGCTCAACGACGTGAGCGTCGAGGCGCGCGCCGCCCGCCGCCGCCAGCTCGCTCTCTCTGACACCCTCTCGCGTTTCCATCGCTTTCCGTCGCTCCCAACCCCTCTCGCCCTCTCGCCCCAGCCCCCCCTGCTCCACCTCCCCCCCCCCTCTCTAGGTGCGCCGCGCCGCCGTCGTGCGCTGCGTCGCGCTCGTCCAAAAGTCGGCGCTGCTCTCCGACCAGCTGCTACCGGATCTCACGCAGCGGCTGTTCGACGGCGAGGACAAGGTGCGCGCCACCACCATCAAGGCGGTGTGCGGCGCGTGCACACTGCGCGTCGAGCCCTTCGCCGAACTGCTCAAGGACATCGGCGGACGCATCTTCGACCGGCGCCCCGCGGTGCGCTCGGCGGCGCGCGCGGGCGTGTGCGCCATCTACGCGCGCCAGATGGGGACCGAGTTCAAGGCCACCTCGCGGCGGAGCTGCGGGGCTCCTTCCGGCGTGGGACGGCGCCTCTTGACGCCTCGCATCCGTGGCTCACTATAGGCTGTCGCGGCGGAGGAGGTGTCCCCGCCGGAGGGCGTCGAGTGGGCGCCGGCGCGGCTGCTCCAGTGCTACGGCGCGGAGGCGGGCTCCGACCCCGCCTCGCGGCTCGAGCTCGAGGACTTGCTGCAGGACAAGCTGCTGCCGAGCTTCGCGGACGAGGCGGACGCCGAGGCGCTCCACGCGCGCGCTCTGACCGTCGCTCACGGCGAGCTCGCGCCGCTGCAGCGCAAGGCCTTCCTCTCGCTGCTGCGCGCCAAGCGGCTGTCGCAGGACCAGCTGCGCAAGTGGCTCGACCTGCACCGCGCCGTCAAGGAGAAGCGCGCGAGCGGCAGCGCCAAGGAGGAGATGGCGAGGGTGGCGGCCGCGTCGGCGGCAAATTTCCCCGAGCCCGCAAAGGCGACACGCCCGCTGCCTTCCCCGCCGCCCCTCTCCTCCTTGCCGCCGCTCACTCCGCCGATGCCTCCTCCCCTCCCCCCTCCCTTCCCCTCCTCGCCTCCCGCTCTCCTGCCGTCCTCACC